CGTATCTTTAGGAGCAGCCTGGGAAATGGTTGGTTGAAAATGAATTTTGCCTTTTGAAAACACAGAGGTGAATGACAGCTGTTTGTTGTGTTATCAGAGGCATGACACGTGTAGTTGATTGGGACCAGGTGGCCTCACAGAAGCCATTTAAGTGAAGTTGTAAACCATTAGTTGACAAGTAAGGTGACAGTCTGATTCTTGTTAACAAAAGCTTGATTGCCAGTATCTGCCTTTCAGTTTAAGAAGGGCAACAAAACAGTTGAAAAACCTGGGGTTCTATGAATAAGAAGCTGAGGTATGGCCAAACATAATAGTCCACACATACTTGACCTGTAAAAGCATCACTAAGTGGACAGGATGGGTGGGTGGGATGATAGTCTTCGATTAAACTTAGAGGGTTGATAGAATTATGTTCAGTTCTTTACTGTTTACTTCAAGGCTTATATCAACAGCGATATTTTCCTAATTGTACGTGCCATTGGTAGATAACTTCCCTGATTTAACTCACATCTCCTGAATACTGGGTCATGAAATCTATAAATCATAGCTGGTTCACTGAAGAAAATGAGCAACAGATACAAAACCAAGAGGGCTGTACTCTATTTTGCTCCCTAGGTTAGCCTTCCATGGGTTAATTCACCTGATAAGTCTAGTTTCATTAGATTATTTCTCAAGAGATCTATCCTTTTCTCTACTTCACCATTTCCTACCCTTTGTGGATGACTTTGATTACTTTTGGAAGCCCCAAAGACAGATTATTGAAACTGAACTTGTCTCATGTTAGCTGAGAGACATTAGTAAAGCTGGGTAATTTCCTTTGAGTTTATTTGCAGGATGAAGTGAGGAGATACTAGTATGTTGTTTATGAGAAACTCTGCCACTTGGCAAGTGAGATATCCTTAATTTTAGCTTTGACTTTATTTGTGTATTTGCTCATGAATGAGTACTTCTATGTATTTTATAATAACCTATAAGAAATGGCAGTTATATATACATTTGGATGTGTTGAATTGAGACTAGGCTATACATTGAGATTATAAGATAACTTGTGTCCTGGGAAGTATTTCTGAAGATTGTATTTTGATGAGTCTATGAGTTGGTTACACGGAATGATTTGTTTTCTTCCAAGACACAAAACTTGAAATTTGGTTCACTAATCTCTCTCTTGTTTATCCTATTGGGTAGTAAGAAAGAATGACTCATTTCTTTCTCAATAAAATGGAAACACAAAGGAGAGTCTTTCAGAGGTGACAATGGGAAATGAAATGAAATAGCAAAAATTGTGCTAGTCCTGTCCTTCATCTCCCTCCCTTTTCAGGGTAGTTTGGACAATGATAATAGCAGTTAACATTCAAAGAGTGCTTCAGTGAAAAGTCAGCACCCTAATATTTTCTCAACAGGAATTGACTTACACTTTTCTCACCAACGACCATACCCTATGAGGTATCCTACTTTTATAAATGAGGAAGCTGAGGGAGGCATGAATGAGTTTGGTGACTATCGACTATTCTGATCTTAATGGTCCCACAGATTTCCTGGGTTTATCTTATTAGAGTCCTGGACACTTATGAGGGTAAGCAGGTATGTCAGCATGAGGAGCTGTAACCCCAGGAGTGGCCTTTGGTTAAGATTCCAAAGGTTTATACTGGCAGTGGCAACTTGGTAGTAATCTCTCTTTTTCTCTCTGCTGAAGTCTGTGATTTGGCCTGGAAAGAGTTCCATACATTCTGTTTGAATCCTTCTCACCATTTGAACCTTCTTGGATTTTTTTCCTCTGGCATCTCTGGTTTCTCACTCCCTGCTGTCCCCAGGGAGGGGACTGCTGTAGGGCACTGGTTGCTGGTATGTGAGTATGTAGTTCTAGCATAGGATCTTTCTTTAAAGCAAAATCTAACATTTCTTAGAATAGAATTGGTATTGCAAGAAGGGCCTTTAGGTGTATTTTCACAGTGCTTGACAGGAATGTGATGTCCTAGGATGAGTAGCTAGAAAATAGGCTGGAGCCAGGCTTGGGAATATGCTGCCATTTCAACACTACAGACTATTTATGAAGAACTCTACAAATGTGTGCTTGGTTTTTTCTGCACTTCTCACAGTAGCTATATTTCTATTATAACCCTTAAAAATAGAAAGCTAGGAGCTCTCTGAACCAAAGGAATTGATTTTAGGACAGAAGAAAACAACAGCTCCTGCAAAATGTTCTATTGTCAATTATCAACCTCAGAACAGTAGGGAAAAATGGTGTGTGTGCCAAGGGTACCCATATGCAAATGAGGATACTTATAGGGTGGATGTGAGGCTTAAATGTCATAATCTATAAAGATTATCCTCTAGTGGTAGTGTATATGCAAATTTTCATCATGCAGCTGCTTCACACCATGCATTCCCATTAGCAGGAAGCCTGGCCTGGAGAGAGGATATGCCCATACCCACAATCTGCATCTAGCCCAAAAGATACCCTCACTTGCTTTTCTCCCTGAAGCTACTAGGGCTATAAATGAGGAGATTGTCATTTCCTTTGGCATCACTCAGCCTGAATGTGTGCAGGTCTTCCTGGGTGTGGGCCCTCAGCTTCCCATGCAAAGCTGCAAAGTGTAGTTATTCTATTTCAGCCAGACACACATAACTAGCTGGGAACCATCTGGTTGACAGGAATTTTTCTCACCCACTACAGAAAACCAAGGGGAAGGATGAGCTTAATAGAGACTCAGACAACAAGATTTAAATAAATAAGCTGTATTATCTGTACAAAAAATATAAATAGAGTTTTGTGTTTTAGAGGAGGAAGTGCCTCCTTCCACATTATCCAGCAGCCCTAATAATCTGTGGTACTGCTGAGTCACAATTCACAGAACAAACATTAAATGTACATTCATCTCATGAAGGAGCACCCTGCCACCCACCCCAAACCTACGCTCTCCAACTTGCTCTGAAATCCACCTCCAACTCTACACCCTGACCTGTGGCAGAGCTGGAAGATGTCTGCTTTTTAGGAGATGTAAATATTGACCACAGATTTTCAATAACTATTGAACTGGAATAATCAACCACATTGTATTATAGAATTTGTCTTCATCATTTCATGTGTGACGATCGTGTCACAAATGAATCCACTCTATTGCTCCAGTATTCCATGGTACTTTTTACAATGTATTCTGTACACAGTGAGTAATGGATCCAGAGTTAGGAAGAATACAGTTATCACCACTGAGTTTACAGGAACACAGCTGCAGGAAGTTCATTAAACAATCCCTCAATATTTTTTTTCTGGATGACAATGTACAATTATTAATATTGCACTTTTTTATACAAGAAATTCTAATAAATATTCACAAAAGATATACATAGAAAACATTCTCTTTTATTTTTAAATAAACATTACATTGATTTTTTAGTAACATGATTTCTTAGTCTGTTTTGTGGTGAGGAAAAAAAGAGACCCACCCTAAGTGTCCATAGCTTGTCTAGAGAGGACATAGATTAATATCATCTTCCTCCCAAATTTTACTTCCAGGCTGGCTGGAAAATGCAGCCCTGATGTCAGTGGGGGTTCTGGTGTGAGTGACCTTGCATGAGTGTGTATGTGAGGGGTGGCTTATCTGAGGGGTAAAGGCTCTGGGTGCCCTGCTTACTAAACTGAGGCCACTCAGGGGGAGGAAGCAAAAATTATTCACGAAAAGTTGCTCTGTGGAATGAGCAATTTGCCAAATCGTCTCTCAGTTTTTTCCCATTTGACTTTGCTGTAGCCATCTCTCATGATAGCCAGTGTGTGTTGCTGAAACACGTGTGCTGCTTTGCCTGCTGAGTGACTGAATCACCAAATTTGGCATATTAATTACCATAAGGTGCATATTATTTCCTTGCGTTGGGAGGATGGGTTGAAAAGCCTTTGAGGACTATCTTGGAGTTTTTAGCTATCCTTTGGCTTTGCCACATCTCCTCACCACCCTGCCCAACTGCTGCATAAATACCATGTTCAGCAGCTCTTGGTGCTGTGGGAGGGGCCTGGGGAACCCATCACCTTAGGGTGATGGCTATTATAGGCAGGGTATACTGTGAGCATGTGCAAACCCACTGTCTCATCCTATTCCGTGGCCAGCTCTGGTACGAAGTGGTTATTACAACTTGCCATTGATGCTTTCTGGCAAATTGATTAACGAATTGATTTTTACCAATATACCCCAGGTCCTGGCCCTAAGTGGAGCAGTAAATGCTATTCAGGCAGAAAGCCTGGCTCCCTCATGCTCAGAATGCCCACAGCAGCAGTTAGTTCAGGGCTAGGGGACCCTGGATTTAAATAAAGACATGCCTGGGACAGCCTTACTATACAGCCAGAGTTGCTGGCTCTGTCACAGCTACAAAAGCAGAAAGTTTCCTTAGATAGTGTGGTGAGTGGGGAAGACTCTTAGCCCCACTGGGGCGTGTCTCCCATCACCCAGTATGGGCACTCTGAGAGGGCACCCACACCTTCACGGAACCTAGAGGGGTGCTTGCATGCACTGAGGTTCAGAGTCTGTCTGGTGAGCCTCACATGGCTGCCCCAAAGCCCCTCAAGCCTCCACACAGGCCTCTTTGCTTCTGACCCTTCCCTCCATTTCCTGCATCACTGTGCACCTGAGACCTACTTTGATCGTCTCCCTCTTTACTGTTAACTATCCATGGTTGAATTCTCTTCTCTCTGTGTCCCCCTCCAGAAGAGCTGAGTTCTGGGTTGGTTTCTGTCTCAGCATGGGGTCCCCTTTGTCTTCACTACCACTGAGGGGGCCTCAATAGGGAGCTTCCTGGAAAGACATAGCTGGTTGTCCAATGTTTGCATCAACCTCCCTGGTTCCTTGCTGGCCTGAGGGGCCATGGCTCCCTCTTCCAATATCTCTGAGCCCCAGGTTTGCAGGGAACCAGCTCCACAAGGGTGCTGCTGCTGTCTGTCTGGCTTGCTCTGCACCCTCCTTAGACATCCGTCCTTTTCCTTTCCCAACACTGTCCTCCAACTAACTGAAAGAGAATACATGCTGAGGTCCTCAGGGGTCGGGGAGGAGGTGGGTGTGTGGAGAGGGAAGGGTAAATAAATAAATAAAACAGAGAAAGCATAAGTTCTGTCCAAGGTGGTTGCGTGAGTCCTTTGTGTGGCCAGGGTAGAGCTCTTCCCCGTGCCCTGTCTTCACGCTTTGCCACAAGTCCCACAGCAGCGAGATTTGAACTGGCTGAGTTGGCAGAGTTTCAGCTGTTTCACCTTCTCGCAGTATCTGGTGATGTCTCTGCACTCGGCTAGGAAGGCAGGAGGGTGGGAAAGGGGACAGAAAGGAGATGTGAAACAGAGGCTAACAGATGTGGCTGCTGTGTGTAGCCTGGGCACTTGGCTGCTGGGTGCCTGCTGGGGTCTGCTTTGGCCACCACTCTCCAGCCCTTCTGGACAGCCTTTTTCTAGCCTCTTGCCCCCCAGGCTGCCAATAGCAGGGGTGGCACCTACCTACCTGCAGGCTGAATGATGAAGCCTATCTCGAGCCTCCCTTTACTTCCTTCCTCATCTTCCTCCCATCCAAGTACTAACCAGGCCCAACCCGGCTTAGTTTCCAAGGTCAGACGAGTTAGGGCACGTTCAGAGTGGTATGGCTGTAGACCTTTCTCGACTTCCTGATGTGATTGTCCTTTCCTCTTGGAACCACCTCACTTCTCGTTTGCATTTTCCCATGCTTTTGATGCTTTAGAAATGAGTCTCCCCCAAATATAGTTCCCAGAATGAATTCTGCTTCATGTTGAGGAAACATGCAAGTGAGGCTCTAACCTCAGGCACTTGGACCTTGCTTTCTCTGTGAAGCTTTCTTAAGGTCTTTTAACTCCTGCAACCCACCAGGTCTTAATACACCATGGTATTTCATTGGTGGAGACTAGATGGTTCTTTTTTTCTTCTTCAAATTTTAATGGCTGAGTACTGTGAAGCATACATTAAGGCATTTACTCTATTAGCAAACAGTTCTGGACTAGATGGTTCTTAAGCATTGGGGTACATTTGATCTGCTAAGTGTCTTAACTACCTTTGACATAAGCATGGGTCAGAATTTCACCACAGTACAAAGGTCACCCCCTCCCAGTGTACCAAAAGGAATGCGCTACGTGCCTATAGGGCATCTGCCTTGGGGTTGGGAATCTATTGCAAAAATGCATTGATATATTTGCTTTTAATTTCCTATTCTTTGCCTCAAGATTTGTCTTCTTCCTTGTGGGGAAGCACCTCTAATTTGGGTTTGGAGGAAGAGAAAATGGATCCCTACCCAACTCAGATACAAATATTGGTGTCGGGAGGCTCCAGACTCAAGGAAGGAGGGAGCAAAATGAATATGAAATCCCAAGGGTGTGCACTCCTGCTCAGTTCCTGTGGCTGCCCATGGGCTGGGAAGGAGGGAGGTGATCAGCAGGTCCTGGTTCCGTGAGAAGCAGAGCAGTGATGGGTGTAGAGCCGTCTGAGTGGGAGGTGCCCTGTGTGCTTCTTCAGTGGTAACAGTGCTTTCTCTAGTAGTGTGGTCCCGGCAAGCCACTGCTTGTCATCCCCTGTGACTCCAGCCAGTCTGTTTCATCCAGCACTTGGCCAACAGCATTTGGTTCTCTCAGGGCCAGGGTGGAGACTGTGGAAGCCCTTGGGGCACTCCCTGCTATCTCTTGTGGCCTGGACATGTGTACACGCTTCCGTGCACACATCCATGCACCCCACTGAAAATGCTCAACTCTGGCCCCTGCTCACAATCTTCGGGGAACCTGAGCCAATGCCCTGTGTTCAGGTGCAGTCTCAGGGACTGCCCTCTGCGCCCGATGCACCATGGGGAATTTGCAGAATGTTCTTTGGGATTGGAACGTACTGTTTTCACAGGGGGTGATGTTGCAGCGCTGCCAGTTGGCAGGCCGGGGTCCCCAGGAACACAGGTGCTCAGGCACTGCCTTGTTGGTGCGGATGTGCACACACTCCACCCGCCGGGACTGGAAGCCATAGTTGCCACAAGTAGCAGTACACAGGGTCCACAGGCTGACCCTCCAGTGTACGCTGCAGGCCTCTGACCAGCAGTTCTGGGTGCTCACAGGCCTGCAGGGAAGGAGGGTGGCAGGGTTAAGGTTAAGGTCTGTCTCTGTGGGGACCAGTTCAAGGGGTAAATGTCAACTACAAACCCACTGAGGTCAGGCAACTCACTTCTCAAGAACTTTCAGTGTTACCAGGCTGGGATTTTGATTTTGGTTCTGTTGCTGAACGACTATAAGATCTTAAGAGGCTACTTCCTCTAACTGGGACTCTGTCTGATCTTCATTCCCTGAATGACCCATGAATGAGCTCTACTCAGTGTAGAAGCTGCAGAGGTGGAATATGGAGCCTGCTTGGGGGCTGGGGTTCTAGGTTGGGGGTAATGAGCGTTTCTTTCAGAGGACTTGTACAAGGTAAGAGGATAGGGGCTGGTTGAGACCCAGGGACAAGAGTGCTCATCTCAGCCTAACTTCTACAGACAGGTCAACTAGAATGAGTAGCTGGTGGAACCCTTGAGGCCTGGTGGCCACTGTACAGATCTCACATCCTGCTTACCATGGGATAAGTGGAATCAGGTCTCTCTTAGAGAAACAACACCCATGCCTGCTTCATCCCTAAGAGGGGAAGGTGAAACCTGGTCCATTCCGTAAGCAGAAGGCCACCACTGAGCCATCTACCTTGCAGGAGGCCAGTGGCCTGGGGTGATGCGGGTGAGAGGGCAGAGCAGTCCCCTGGGACAAACACCCTCTCACAACCATCTTATTGTGCTATTGAGAAAGGGGCTGGGGAAAGGTGGTCTTGGGCTTTGTCTTACCTGGGAAGGGCACTGCACTGCTCTGATGGTAAGGTGATGCCATCCCGGGTCTGGCAGAAGACTTGTCTGTGTTGCACAGCTAGGCGAGGCCCAATGCAAGGCCCATTGCACTGGGAAGCAGAAAAAGGAGATGTACATATTAGCCAAGTCGAAGGAGAAGCTGCAATGTTCAGGCCACATGGGACACAGGATCCTTGTGCAGGATCTTGTTGGAGGCCCACAGTTCATTCATCTCTCTCTTCTTTGTGCCATCTAATGGGCATTCCCTGGCATGTTTTTTTTATTCCACAACAGGGCAGTTTAGCTTTCCCGTGGTCTGTGAACATTCTGCTAAAAAATGGCTAGGGGAAATGTGGATCTAGCCACAGACGGCCAATCCCCCTCTAGATAAACCATATGAAAAATATCTTGGTGTTATACGCTGGGAATGTGGTAGCAATCTTCAGAGCTAAAGCTGTCTACTAAGCTCCTCTTCTCTGCTTCAGTGTGGAAGATAGTTTGGTTTATTATTTTCTTGCAAGTAACCACGCCCATAATTTTCTCCTAACCTTACCTTTGTTTTCTTCAGGTCAAATCCAGGACAGCTGTATGTATAGGCAATCCTCATGGAGGAGGAAGGGCCTGACTCTATTCCACTGAACGCCCCTAATAACACTTGTCTGTAAACTACAAAAGCAGCAGGCCCTGAGCCAATAGCTGCCATTTTAGAACAAGAGGACACACATCCCTGGGAGGTCACTTTGGAACAAAGGATCTTAACTTTGGGGACTTTGAATCTCTAGAGGCCCATGGGGAGGTTGGGGGTGTCAACTCTTAATATTTTAAGTGGAAATTCTCTGCTGTAATTTTTCTGGCAAGAGGTTCCTTTCAGCTTTTATCAGGTGCTCAGTGGGATCTTTGACCTCAAAGGTGAAGAACACCTGAAAGTAACTCAACACCTTTGTCCCGGGTCAGTTATTGTTCTTCTGGGTGCTTAAGGGCTCGGTTGACACTATGGTTCACAAAGACAAAGGGAGTTGGGCAAAACATAAAACCAAAAATTGGAATGTTTTTGTTTTATGGTAAAATATACATGACAAAATTTATCATTTTAATAATTTAAAACTAACTTTCTTGTGAAGCACAGACTACATAGAAAAATGTGATTAAAGCATAAGGTGCCTCTAAGTGAGCGATTACCGAATAAATGTAGAAGTAAGGTCAGCTGTGTGTCCTCAAAAGGACCTCTACTTGTCTTAGTGCTTTGTTGTCCATTTTGCCATTCATTATAGTTTTTGGATAAGTGGCTCCACAAATTAGGTGGCCAGTAAAGAAGTAAAACTCTGCTAGCAACTCAGGAGTCCCTTTGTGCCTGTTCTTATTCACTCTTTCCCCCTTTCCAAACACAACCACTGTCAAGATTTAAATTTTAATTTTCTATCTATTTTTGGTTAATACTTAGCTCCTTTATAGTTTTTATAATTCTAATTAATACCAATAATACTGCCTTAAACATTTTTGAAAAAGTTCCTCGGTGCCCTTATGCATGCATTATTGTTAGGTATCACTTAGAAGTAGAAATGAGTATGCAAATTTAAGAGATGCTGTCAAACAGAATTCCAAAGTCCCTCCTGCCAGTTCTTCTCCTACCACTGTTGTATGGATTTCCACTAAGTTTAAACCTTTGGAAATTCTCAGAATGGTTATATATTTCACATCTTATGTGTTCTAGTAAGTATATAGTACTTATGTATTGTACCTCATTTTGGCTTGATTTGCATACCCCTGGTTACTAATGAAGTTTAACATCTTTTTATCCCTCATTTGAATTTCCATTGTTTCAGTTAAAATATTTTTATTAATGTATATTAATTGTACAAAGGGGTTTCTTTTGATATTTCCGGTTACTCTTTCTTATCTTCCCTTTTGTTTCTTTACAATCTTAATGGGTTTCATTGCGCTGTTTTCATACATGCATACAATGTACTTCAATTATATTCACACCCATCACCTTCTCCTTTTGCTTTTCACCCTTCTGCTATTTCCCCTCCTAAAGACCCCCTCCATTTTACTTTAATGGCATTTTAACTTTTTCAGGTTTAGAATTTGCTTATGGGAGAAAACATTCAATATGTGTCATTTTGAGTCTGGCTATGATTTCTAGTTCTATACATTTTCCTGCAAATGACAAAATCTCATTCTTTATGACTGAATAATACTCCACAGTGCATTTATACCACATTTTCTTTATCCATTCATTTGCTGATGGATACCTAGACTGATTCCATAGTTTGGCTATTGCGAATGAGGCTGCTATAAACATGGGTGTGCAGGTATCTGTATTGTATGTTGATATACATCCCTTTGGATATATGCCCATACTGATTTTCATAGTGGCTGAACTAATTTACACCCCCCCACCCCCACCCCCGCCGACATCCTTGATAGCATTTGTTGTTGTTTTCTTCATGATAGCCATGACTTGGGTGAGATGGACTCTCAATGCCATTTTGATTTGTATTTTCTTTATGGCTAAGGATAGTCAACATTTCCTCATGTATTTATCTTTCGTTTGTACTTCTGTTGAAGTGAGAGACTGGGATCTAGTTTCAGTTTTCTACATGTTCCCAATGTACCCAAGTGTTCCCAATACCATTTGTTAAAGAGGCTGACTTTTCTCTAATGTATATTTTTGGTTCCTTTGTTAAAAATCAGATGGGTGTAGCTGTGTGGGTCTTCCATTCCATTGGTCTAGGTGTCTATTTCGTACCAGTACCATGCTGTTTTCATGACTATGACTGTAGTATATTTTGAAGTCAGGTATTATGTTACCTTTAGCATTTATCTTTTGGCTCAGGATTGCTTTGGTTATTTGGGGTCTTTGTGCTTCCATATAAATTTTAGGATTTATTTTTCTGTTTCTGTGTGGAATGGCATTGCCATTTTGATGGGGATTGAATTAAATTTATAGATTACTTTTGGTAGTGTAGACATTTTCACAATATTAATTCAGCCAATGCAAGAACATGGGCACTCTTTCCATCTTCCAATATCTTCTTCAATTTCTTTCTTCAAGGTTTTGTAGTTTTCATTGTAGAAGTCTTTTACCTCACTCGTTTATTCCTAGACATTTTACTTGTTTTGAGGTTATTGTGAATGGAATTGACAAAGTATTTCTGAGAGTTTTATGGTAGAATCTTTAGTGTTTCTGAAATATAGGATCAAATAGTCTGAAAATAGGGATAATTTGACTTCTTCCTTTCCTGTTTGTATCCCTTTTCCTTCTTTCTCTTTCCTTATTGCTCTGGCCAACAATTCAATCACTACATTGAATAAGAGGAGTGGAGCCAGTAGACAACTTAATTTTGTTTTTTGACTTCAAAGGAAATGGTTTCAGTGTTTCCCCACTTAGTACTATGTTGGCTATAGATTGTCATACAATAGCCTTTTTATGTTGCAGTACATTCCTTCTAGTCCTAGTTTCTCCAGGGATTTTATCATGAAAGCATGTTGAATTTCGTCAAATCCTTTTTTGTATCTATTGTGGTGATCATGTGATTTTTGTCCTACTGATTTGTGAATATTGAGCCATTCGCAAAGAATCACTGGACTGACCTAGCAATATACCCAAAGGAATGCGACTCAGGCTACTCCAGAGGCACCTGCACACCCATGTTTATTGCAGCACTATTCACAATAGCCAAGTTATGGAAACAGCCAAGATGCCCCACTACTGATGAATGAATTAAGAAAATGTGGTATTTATACACAGCCATGAAGAAGAATGAAAGCTTATCATTCACAAGTAAATAGATGGAACTGGAGAACATCATCTTAAGCGAAGTTAGCCAGGCTCAGAAAACCAAAAATCACATTTTCTCCCTCATATGTGGACTTTAGATCTAAAACAAATGCAGTGATATCAGACTTGGGTCACACACTAAGGGGAGAACACATACAGGAGGAATAGGGAAAGGTAGGGGAAAAAAAGATGACAAAAGCATTAAATGTATGGGTGTATGTATAGAAAATTCCTTAACATATCCTACCACAATTTCAGGCATCCATTGGGGTCTTATAGCATAGTCCCCATAACTAACAGGAGGGGGGCAGCTATATATCCACTCTGCTTGTCCTAATGATAGTTTAGGAGCAGGCAACAGAAAAAGGCTGGTAAAAAGGTGATTATCCTAACAACTTATCATCAGGAAGACCACTTTTGGAGGGTACCAATAAATAGGCTGCTTTTGGGAAGCTTGTCTAATCAAATTGTTCCCTGATACAAAAATAATAGATTAACTTCTGGAATTACTGGAAAACATTCTAAAATACAATGGAGATAAAAGCAGTCATACAAAATCTCCACACCCAGAGCAAACCATATTAATAATTGAAATGTGTTTCTATCCATTCTTTTATTTATTTTAATTTTTTATTATCATTGTACTGGAGTTACAATGTAACATTTACAAAAGTTCTTACAATAGTTTTACAAATGCCTTTGACATTGTAACAATGTATAATTCAATATCCTGACTTATTGCTCAGAATTATAGCTTATATATTTCCCTATTATTAAAAATAATATACATTATTTTAATGGAAAAAAGAATTACTGGAGTGAAACCCACTTGATCAGAGTGTATGATTTTTTTAATATGTTGTTGAAATCAGTTTGTGAATATTTTATTGAGAATTTTTGTGTCTGTATTCATTAAGGAAATTGGTCTGTAATTTCTTTTTTTGTCATATCCTTACCTTGTTTTGGTGTATTAGTACTGGTGGAAACTCCCATTGCCTGCTAGGGCCACTACTTTCATTTGTAGGGGCAGCTACACAGCGAGCTCACTATATCCTCTGCTCACTACACTGTACTATCACTATACTATTACTATACCTGCTAGAGTGTTCCCACTCTGTGGGATTGGCAGAGACAATCGGTATCTCTGACACCATGACCAAACTCACTAATCATAGCCAAAGAAGTTAGCTAGACTCAAAGTCAACATTACATAACAAACTGACACCCAAGATACATCTTCAGGAGAAAGTTGCATACTAAGAAGGCCACTCCATATAAGTGGTAGAGATATCTGATTCACTAGGTACTCACATGAAAAAGAACAATCGA